TGTTAAGTTGGCCAACGTTAACTTAACACATCAATCACACTGGGAAGTACGAAAAACATTGTATAAATGGTGAAACAATTATTAATAACATATATAGACTGTTCTTCTCAAGCTGAACTCCCTTTAAAACAAACTGACAATCAACATTATGACACCTTTGATATTTTCACCATCTATGCAACTCTGGCAGAATACCCTACTGCTGCAAGCCATAGCCACATTATTGAATTAGCTTAGATTAGCTACTTTTGCATTATTATATAGCAGGAGCAGTTAATTTACAAATGGAACCACCAACTGTTTTTTTGGGTTTAATATGTGGCAACAGTTGCAATGACACTTCTGGGATTTGTTACCTATACAGCTGCATCTCTTTATTGAGGTATAGGATTACTGGGATCTAATCATCAAAAAACTATTCACATGTATGCCAGAAATTATTCTTTAATCAGAAAAATAAGTCTCTCCTGATTGAAATGGCAATACATGTCCCAGCTAATTATTAAAACACACTAAGGAGAGGTAAACACTCCACCACACTCCTAGGTCTATGCATCGATTAAAGGCCTTTGGCTAATGTAATATTGGGGCAACATTCCAATAACTCATGCAGAAACATTCACAGTGACAGGTTTATCTTGTCCCCCAGGGATGGTGCTGAGTTAGTTGCGGAAGCCATATTTTGTACAAATTATCCAGCAACATGATACAGACATTTAATTTCTCCCTGTATTTTTGTGAATTACCAATGAACAAGAAGCCATCAAGCTCTACTTTCATCAAATAACTTTCATTCATTGTGTGATGAATAAGAAACCATGAATTTGGAATATCTGAAATAAGGAACATCTTAATGTTCTCCCCTACATATGCACTGCATGCATCATATCGTGATAATTGTGGTTATAACATTTGAACAAAAGACAGATTTCGGGAGAGACAAACATCCACTTAAGAGAAACTAATCTAATGCATGATAATCAAGGACACTTTATCGCAGACTTTCCGCAAGCTACTTCCAGCAACAGAAAAGATATATCTTGGATTTGAGATAAGTGAAAAGAAGAGAGGATCTACAGACTTATACCATCTTGTAAAATTACATAAGCCACTCCGAGCTCATGACATACTTAAATAAGCAAAGGTTACGTAACAGCTGTGTAACTGCACTTTACCAGCGAGTAGCAAAGCAAATTAAGTTGGTGCACAGGAATTTACAAGTAAAGCAAAACATTGTACCAGATTCCTGCCTTTGTTCTCTGTGTGCATTAAACCGTGTTTTCGCATAAAAATAAAGGTACAGCTGTAAAGTATTTCCTCCACCGCTGGTGACTCACAGGAAGTTAAAGGGAAAAGTGAAAAATAAGTCAGAGCTGCACAAACATTGAGCATGCACGTGCATTCACACATGCACTGTGTGTGTGACAGAAACACAGAGGGATGCGGCTGCCTGAGTTTTGTATCCTTCTAATAAAAGGAAAAGGGGTGTGGTTGGAAGAAACTGGAAGAAGTTATTTATCACTATTCTGTGTAACTGTACCCTCTTATAAATTCAGAAAGGCTGCTGTTATGAGTAAAGCCTTTCATGGAGTCATTAATATTTGAAATAAAACATGGCTTTTTTATCAGACGAACATTTGCACCATTTCTTTTCTCTTCTCTTGATGTGAGCCTTGTGTCACCGTGCATTACAGGCTTTTGCTTTTATCTCGCTTGGTTCTATTACTGAATCAGTCAGACACCTCTTTGCATCCCATTCTCCCCCTCTGAGGTCATGAATTAAAATGTCTGCTTGCGTTAAAAGACAAAGCATTTAATCTTTCTCTTTGAACTTTGATTCCATCTGCCTCGGTCAGCCTCCTCCTCAATCATAAAGGTTTCCTTTACCTCCTTTATCAAAACATCTACAGGCGTACCTCCATGATTTCAAACAGCTGCATCATTAATTACTTTATTGTATTCCTGCTCATACTCAATGGGCATGGGGGTGGTATTGAAAACAGATGCAATAACAGCTTTACAGGATTTTCCTTGTGTTGCTAGAGAATGTAAACAACCTGTTCTGTTTACTGTGGTGTGTCAATGCCCTATAAATATAATGGATAGATCACAGGCTGTACTGTACTGGACCCCGACCTGTATAAAGGGATGTTGAGCTTTTTCAACAAATATCACTATTGCACACTTTCACATAGACGTTTTAGAGTTGACCTGATTCGTTGATATGATAAGTGGCAATAAAAAATACATTTTTGCAGTAATTTGCTAAACAAAAATTACAAACATTTTTTGCGTGTCAACTTCTCAATTATTTGTTTTTTAATACAGGAAACTGTTACAAGGCCATTAAGACTGTGGGAAACTCACATAATAATGAAATAATCAGTATGAAGCGCTACTATATATAAATGTCTCACATAAAAGATGCTGAAAAATCCCCTATTATTTCTTCCACTTAATTCACTGCCGTCCCTGTATATGAGACATTTGCAACAGATTCAAGGTTACATTTTGGATACATCCTGCCTCTAAATCATATCGTTATACTCTATTGTTATTGCCTGTACTAAATTAGCCTCTATAATGGCTGTATGTTCATTACCAGTCTACATATCTACTAGCAACATGATCGATGGTGTTATCATTAATCGATTTAGAAGACACAATAAAGGTGTTGCAGTATTCAGATGTTTCTCCTAATTGAAGAAGAATGGTCTCCCGACTGGATGTTTGCTAACAAAACTAATTTAATCTATGCTTTTTTAACCAAAACTAAAAACACGGACAAAACACATCTCAATCCCTGAAAGACTTGTTCTTTATAAGCAGCTTGGCGAAAAAAGTAATATCAAATATTTATTACAAATAGCTGTATTAACCATAAATATTCATTGGCACTGGACGGTAGTCCTATGAGAAAATGTATTGACAGAGCGGGCATAACATTCTCCAATTATTGGACGGAGCAGCCAGTCTACCAGAGAGGAGCCTGTCCACACCACGTCTTATTTATCTTACACGTCTTACTATTGGTTCGGATCTAATACATTCTCTGTATGCATCTCAGCTCCGGTGCCCTTTCCACAAATCAGGTGTTTAGTTTATATCCCAGCAGTAAACAAAATGGGAAAAAGTTCACAACTACGCAATCTATTTGTATGCTGGCTTCTTCCATTTGCACCACATATCCAGTAGTTTGTACTAATGAACTTTCTCATTCTGGTTTGAGAATGTATTTGTTTTGTTTGTCTTGTTATGGTGTTTTAGGAAGAATACAAGCTTACATTTTACCATCAGTAACATGATAGCAGAATAACAAAGCAATTCCAAACATGACAAATGGATTGTACAAGATACTAATGATCAGTGGTTTATTTAGAATTTTTAAATAATATCTTGTAGTCCTTTTTCAAAGAACTTACTGCAATAATATAGCAAAAATGAAAGATTCTGTAGCCATCAATTTTGTTTATCAGCTACTGTAACTAATATTGCGCTGTTATGTTGTAATGATTAATTTCTTTCATCTGATAAATACATATTCTCAGTTCAAGACCACACAATGCTTTATTCTCATATCTAGTCAGCAACAGGCTCACCGTAACAGCCTTTAATCTATTATGTCCTTCCATAATGTGCACAGGTGCAGCTTAATTCAATTTGAAGACATTGCTGTGGTTATACACAAATACGTTTTCATGTTACCAGTAAAGCCGTTGCCATGGAGATGATGAGGCTTATATAAGCTGAAATGTATTTTTGCTCAAAACGACTCTATTGTCTTCACTGTGCTCATTTAATTATGATTTGTTTGTACACACACGTATAACCGCAGTTGATTCAGCTGTCTGTGAGACAGACAGTGAATAAAGCAATACACTTTAACATATATTTTTCTTTTTTGTTGGATGGCTAAGGCATGAAGGATCTGCTGCCAGGCAGAGACATCTTTTATACCATCTGCAAAAGTTGATAACAGGGATTTTGCATTTCCCCTTCTGTATCACTTTCATCGGTATCACTGTCACAAGCAGAGCTTCAGCCTTGATATTAAAAACTGAGATGTCTGGTTTCACACAAAAAAAACAATGCATCCTTACCTTTAGCCAACTACGTTCCAGCGATGGAAATGTTCTTTCAGTAGGAGGTGTTGGGGGTTGGGGGTGTGGTGGGGGTGGGGGAGAGGGGGGTTTGTCATTCACTTCACCTTTAACCTCCTGTCTGCATCTAGATCCAGCACCTACCAGCTTTCAGCAGAGGATTAAACAGCTATTGACAGAGGAGTGACGTGATTGACAAGTTAAGGTTTCCTTCCTTGTCAGGCGGGCCTCTGTGTCTGTCTGGCACAAGTCTTCCCAGAACACACATTTCACATTCCAGCGCAACTTGAACCATTTTTGAGTTTCTCTGCCATGAAATACGAGGGACATTTTTGGAGCCCTGCTTTTCACACTACTAGTCTAAAATGACTCCTGTACATTGACAGAGGGGGAATACAATTCTTGAAGAAACTAGCATTTGAGTGCTATTTAGAGTTCTTACTTTATCGTTTGCGTGCCTTGAGCAGTGTTACTCTCACGGAGTCTATGTCCAGTGTTCATCAGTGCAGCAATACCTACCGTCTGTACTCGTCTGAGATGAGGGAATTTTCAGCCTCAGAGGAACATGTGGGAGTAGGTACTTACTGTAAATTCATTTTAAGCCTTTGACGGCTTTTAAACTGAAAGACAAGCAGTTTGCGTTATGTACTTCAAACAGAGAATCACAACAGGTTTTGAGTGACCTGTTTGGTTATGATTTTTCTGGAGAGCCCCTGCATTCACATGTACAGCACTCATACTTCATTTATACAAAATGATAAGAATTGTGTTTCCCAACATGTTGACAGCTTAGTAGAGAGAAAACAGAAAGCTGGAGGAAAAAAATGAAGAACATTCCTCCTAATGTTCCTGTCAGATGCTACAATATGTATTGCAGGTAAGTTAGCTCTATATCAATACCCAGGGACAGAGAGTAATAGCATAAGGCGTAAAGCTGGAAGGACTTGTCTCTCTGTCTCTCTCCGTCATCTGGACCCACCTGTCCGCAGTCAGAGCCTCTCAGAAGATTTGCTGCTGGTTGGGGAATTCGTGGCTGAACGATGCGTCAGGGGTTGTCATATAAAATGTGAGTGCTTTCCCCTGAGTAATTTAATCACAGACTTTTATGGAGGCATCAGCCAGCAGACTGAGAGACAGAGTAAAAGGATTGTAATTGGACTTCTTTCATTCAAAGTAATATATGGAATATGTGGTATAATTACATCGCCTGGTAATGGTCTGTGGACGACTGAAATGCTAACGCGCAGTGATTGGTTTAATGTGTTCACAGGGGGAATTTGCACCTTATTGACTTGAGACTCTTCTTTGGTGGTGTTTCGTTTAGGCTTGTCAGACATTATTGTGTGGCTTTTCTAACCTCCCGACTACTCATTGTGACCGTTCAGGATGATAAAGTGATTGAAAACGTTGTCTTCTCAATAAATGAAACTTAGCAGAAATGCTCTTTTATGTGCCAAGTGAGTCATTTGTGTGGGCGACATCTAAGGTCAACTCCACCATCTTTTAAAGCTCTTGAATAGTCTGAAAGCCTTCTTATACAACAGTGCTGTTTGAATAGACATTTCTGTCCACTTCATGCCTTGTTAGCTAATTTAATTCTACCATCAGTGACATTTTTGTGACAGCAGATTGTTTTTGTACGGCATTTTTTTCCTACCACTTTCAGGAGGAATGATATCATAACATATGTGAAGGAGAATCAGTGCATTTTGTGTTAATCCATACCATGAAGTGAGTTCATTATAGATCGGCAATTTGTTCAAATCTCCCAAATAACAGTGTGTATGAAAAGGCACATATTGTGTGTGTGTATTTTGACAAAATCAAAAAATATGAGTATAAAGATACAATTACTTAGTCATGCGTGTTGGTACTGACTTAAGTAGCACCAAGTCACTATTTTACCAAAAAATCAATCAATATTTGGCTGATCCTTATCAGTGTGTGGTCTACCCCCAAACCGCTGTGACACCTAACTCCTTGTTCCTGACAAATCGTATCATCAAACAATAACTGCATTTGTGGTGACAGAGAAATAATTCTTCACTGGAAACCAGGCATTTCCTCTTTGGCTTGGGAGTTGTCACGGTGCATGCTACATGTTTACGGTACCATGGGCCTTTCCATTCGCATCAGCCAACTAATTTTTCTGTTTCGCAGCTAAACCAATCAGGTGAATCTGCTGTTCCACAAAGCCCCTGTACAGCTTCTGTGTGTGTGAGTGTGTGTGTGTGTGTGTGTGTGTGTGTGTGTGTGTGTGTGTGTGTGTGTGTGCACATTTTATGTAACAGGGATAGAAAACTCAACATGATAGTGGTGTTTTATAGTTTTTTTTCCTCCCCATGTCTAAGAGGTTTTTATTTGTGTCATGTGACCTCATCTAGATGAGCTCCAGACCTTTGCTTTACATACACAGGGACGAGGAATGCAATGTTGCCTAACAATTAGCAGTGTAATGTAACCTGATGACGGCGCCACCCAAACGTTCAAAACATTAGGCCGAGTCACACTTTCCATCATCTCCCTGATCATGAAACATTACTGAAATGAGATCCAGCTTCATGATTGTGTGTGTGTGTGTGTGTGTGTGTGTGTGTGTGTGTGTGTGTGTGTGTGTGTGTGTGTGTGTGTGTGTGTGTGTGTGTGTGTGTGTGTGCACTGAGTGAAAGAGAGAGAGACACAGAAGAGGACAGCGTTTCACAATCCGCAGATAAACTCAATGTGACAAGATGGTTACTTTCTCCCTCTGCTGTGACAGTTAATTCTGGACTAGGAAAAATGTCAAAAATGTTTAGTTGTGCTTGAGCGGAGTTAATTACAGAGCCCAAGGCAAGTCAGACTAGGGCTGCTAATGGCCTTGACTTTACAGATAAAGCTCCATTTACCAAGACTACTTTTTTCTCAGCTACTTATCTAATTTGCTTATAATCAAAACATTTTGGCAGCCACAATTAGATTGTCGGGTTTTAGATAAGATTTAGTTTACACAGCAGCCTTGTTATGTTTCAACTCCCATTAACCTGATGTTTTTTACCATATTTATCAATTTGTAACACTGTACTGTATTGTGCACATTGTAATGCCAAAGGGTCGGACAGATGCATGAGAAATGAAACCGCATATATGCAGAAACCTTTCTCAACACTAGTTTGACATTCATGCTCCAAACTGTCACCACCTGACATTTAGACCGTCTGACCACCTATGTGTGTGTGTGTGTGTGTGTGTGTGTGTGTGTGTGTGTGTGTGTGTGTGTGTGTGTGTGTGTGTGTGTGTGTGTGTGTGTGTGTGTGTGTGTGTGTGTGTTTTTGTGTGTGTTTTTTTGTGTGTGTCTTTGTCTCTTTCCTTCCTTTGAGGTAAGGGAACCACAGTGTTAGTGTTTAAGCCGCCCTTACATGTCTTTGTGGTTGCATCACTTCCTTCTCACAGTTCCCTTCTGCGCTGCTGCATTGACACGTGAAAGTCTATGAAACAGCAATCAAGACATCAGTAGCACGGGGGCCAGGGCCGAGTGAACCCAGTCCCAGAGATCGGGACCCAGAGATGCCCGTGAAATGAGTTGGAGTTGGAGAATCACCAGGGGGATATTCCACGCTCCACTGCCAATTTCACTATCATAATAAACCTCAGCTCGTAGAGCGATATTATGGGGCCAACTATTTCCGCTGACACTTTAACTGTGCATAGATTTTTCTGGTGCAGAAGATAAGAGGGCAGATAAGAAATAGTGTGGGGGCTGAATTGTAAAAAATAAAAAAGGAAAAGCGCTGATTTTTTGTTAATCTGATCTTTAATGTTCTTGTTTAAATTTGTACAATAGTTTTATGAGATTGAAGCTTGGTTTTCATATATTTATGCCATCCGTAGATTCTGACACTGTGAAAAAAGTGCAGAGACAAAAGTTTGACAATTGGCAATGTCTATCAATCATCACCATTTTTTAAATCTTAATTGTTATCGATCTGAAGATCAATAAATATTACAGGTTATGACAACATTTTGAAATTCTTTGCAATCTGACTCAAATATACTGAAGATATATCTTATTTAGACTATAGAAATGTTATCTAACCATATACAATACGTACAGTATATCAATATATTCAGGTTTATTGATCACATATACTGGGACTAACAAAAAACATATGAACATGTGGCCCATCTAAGTCAGCCTGACAATAAAATATTTTTATGAGACATTGTTGCATTGTTAAAAAAGAAATAGTTCCTGGAAAAATAAATGTGAGCTCTCTAACGGAATCTCCATATCTTGAAAAGTACCTTGCAAGTGGTTTGTTTTTCCATAACAGTGTTCGTGTAGGTTTGAGGTTCATTTTGAACCACAGCTGGGTTAAGCACAAGTTATCATTTCCCATGTTTGATTTTTTTTTTGATTGACTTCTCTGAATTTCAGAGAATTGAAACAAGACATAACTGGGGAAGTACCTAAAAACGCCTCAAGCTGTACCTGATGTTTCTGGTCCTGATATTAAATAAGAGACTGGTTATGTGTGTTGACTCATGGATGTGATTATAAATGGTAAAAAAGTATTTCAAATATACGTTTTCGTTTTTTTATCAAAACTTCAGAGAAACATAAGGTAATGGAGAAGTAATAATGTTCCCTACAGTATGTTTCAGTAATTCACCTAGAGACAGAGCAAGCAGTAAGTAATGAGTTATTGTTTTTGTGCCAATAACACCTTATGCAGATTAATCAGGATAGATTTGGTGAGATTGCTTAGTATGCAGGTTCAAATATATTCAGGAAATGAACGTTAGACAATGGTTTATTAACATAATGTCCAGCAGTGTATTCTCAAGAAACATAATAAGAGTTATTAAGGATTGCTATTAATTAATTACAATGTAGTTGCTTATTTGTTCGTCCCACTGTACCTGCCCAGGTTCAAATAAAAATAAAAATATATATTTAAGTTTTTTTCAACTGATAAACATGGTATATTTTTCTGCTGTTTTACCAGATACCACTATAAACACATCTTAAACAAAATCAATGAAAAGTATTATTGTATTTCTCTATTATTATTATTATTATTATTATTATTATTAATGACAGCCTGTTCCAAACACAAGTTTTAGGTTTCATTAGTGGGACGACACATTTGTTTACATTTGTATTACATATTACACCTTTGAGAAACGTAACAACCTTTTTTCACCATGTATTCAATCGCTTATATGGGAGGACAAAATGTACCTTTTACTTTTAGTGGTGGTTTCTCCTCATTGAAGCTTACACATGCATCTGGTCTTGTTGATGCACATATTTCATCTTAAACACTTAAACACTTACGGTTAAAGCACAAACAGCCTTGGTTCAGAAATGAAGCTGTGAGTGTATAATAAATTGCATACCAATGAATTATTCAGATCTTAGCAACATCTTAATCCCCACATCAGGTTTTGTACTGTTTTGTTTGCCAACCAAGAAGTCCTGGAATATGATTCATACAGACCCTGAATCAGACCCTGTTTTCTTAAATTGGCCTAAGAAATAAGGTTAAAGATGGAGAGCTTTTGTTCACTATTATGACATTTGAATATATACATTTAAAGAATGCTTCACTACACTTGATTATTACAAAAATAACTGAAAAAATATGTTTTGCTATTAACGTCAGTCCAAAAATGTCTCTGAATTCTTGTAAAGTTTTCACCATTGATTTGAAAGGAGGGAGACCTGAGTGAACAGAACAATATGCATATATTATAAATTACAGGAGACCTTTGAAAATCTATGTTAACCAGGGAATAGGCTCCTGTCTCAGTTTGTTTTAGAGAACGGCCTTTCTTACAGTAAATCTCCAGGACAGTGCACAGATCTCTGAAGCAGCCGAAGCTAGTCATCTTCATTCATTTCCAATGTACATCTGCCTTTGGTATGAATATGGCTGTCAGTCCTTTAAAGACCATCACAATAGAACACGCTCATTAGTATTGTGTTGCACTGTGCTTCAGCATCAAGCGCCTACCACCCTTGACTAATTTTCTGTTTGTATCAAGAAACAAAAGCTCTCCAAATCCCCCTGTGGGCTCCGGAGTGGCTTTACTGCACATCAAACTATGCTAATTACCTTTTGTACGATTAATTGGACCAATTAGAATTAGTAGAGGAAGAAAATGATTCTTGGCAAGGTGCGAAACATTAATTAGTCATAAAAAACGTTTATTAGTGTTCAAATTTAATCTCACAGAACACAATGCGATTAAGAGGAAAAGACAGTTAATATGTGGCGTGTTCAATCACTCTCGGCTGCAGATGGAATAGTGAGTGTCGCTGCTGGCATTGTGCTCCATCACGCACACACACACA